ACAGACAGGGGGTAACAGGACCTATTGTGTCCATGTGTTCCCACAAGAAGACAGACAGGGGGTAACAGGACCTATTGTGTCCATGAGTTCCCACAAGAAGACAGACAGGGGGTAACAGGACCCATTATGTCCATGAGTTCCACAAGAAGACAGACAGGGGGTAACAGGACCTATTGTGTCCATGAGTTCCCACACAAGAAGACAGACAGACAGGGGTAACAGGGACCTATTGTGTCCATGAGCTCCCACAAGAAGACAGACAGGGGGTAACAGGACCTATTGTGTCCATGAGTTCTCACAAGAAGACAGACAGGGGGTAACAGGACCTATTGTGTGAATGAGGTGCCACAAGAAGACATACTCGGGGTAACAGGACCTATAGTGTCCAGGAGCTCCCACAAGGAGACAGACATGGGGGACTGAGGACCTATTGTGTCCTGGAGGTCCCACAAGAAGACAGACAGGGGGTAACAGGACCTATTGTGTCCAGGGGCTCCCACAAGAAGACAGACAGGGGGTAACAGGACCTATTGTGTCCATGAGGTGCCCACAAGAAGACAGACAGGGGTAACAGGACCTGTGTGTCCATGAGTTCCCACAAGAAGACAGACAGGGGTAACAGGACCTATTGTGTCCATGAGTTCCCACAAGAAGACAGACAGGGGGTAACAGGACCTATTGCTGTCCATGAGGTGCCACAAGAAGACATACTGGGGTACAGGGACCTATAGTGTCCAGGAGCTCCCACAAGGAGACAGACATGGGGACTGAGGACCCATTGTGTCCTGGAGGTCCCACAAGAAGACAGACAGGGGGTAAGAGGACCTATTGTGTCCAGGGTTCCAACACAGAAGACAGACATGGGGTATATTGTGTCCATGTGTTCCAAGAAGAAGACAGACAGGGGTAAGAGGAGAGGACCTATTGTGTCCATGAGTTCCTACAAGAAGACATAAGTTATTGAGGACCTATTGTGTCCTGGAGGTCCCACAAGAAGACAGACAGGGGGTAATAGGACCCGTTGTGTCCATGAGCTCCTACAAGACAGACATAAGTTATTGAGGACCTGTTGTGTCCATGAGCTCCTACAAGAAGACATAAGTTATTGAGGACCTATTTCTATTGGCAGTTGCAGTATATACTTAATGAACAAAAATAGATTGTAAATATATGTATTTTGTTATTCAAGAAGCAACTTGAATGAAAAGAAGAATACATGTACAACAATCGAGAATAGTTTTGAAATTGGGTTGCGTACTACATTGTCAGACAGTGCAGTCTAACTTGTATTAGAGGTGGAAACAGTCCTGCCCTTGTTCTGGTAATGAAAATCACAAACAGTAACATAGAAATGCCAACACCTTTGAAACTGGATAAAAAATGATTTAAACATTAAAACACATGAACATAGCATTATTTTGAGCTATTCAGAAGACTGTGATGGTGATGGAGATTCAGGGGTTTATGGAGATGTGGGGTTTCATTAAGATTCAGGGGTTTATGGGAATGTGGGGTTTCATTAAGATTCAGGGGTTTATGGGAATGTGGGGTTTCATTAAGATTCAGGGGTTTATGGAATGTGGGGTTTCATCAAGATTCAGGGGTTTATGGGAATGTGGGGTTTCATTAAGATTCAGGGGTTTATGGAATGTGGGTTTCCATTAAGATTCAGGGGTTTATGGGAATGTGGGGTTTCATTAAGATTCAGGGGGTTTAGGGGTTTATGGGAATGGAATGGGGGTTTCATTAAGATTCAGGGGTTTATGGGAATGTGGGGTTTCATTAAGATTCAGGGTTGGGATGGAGATGTGGGGTTTCATTAAGATTCAGGGTTTATGGAGATGTGAGGGTTTTCATTAAGATTCAGGGGTTTATGGGAATGTGGGGTTTCATTAAGATTCAGGGGTTTATGGAAATGTGGGGTTTCATTAAGGGGTTTATGATTCATTCAGGGGTTTATGGAGGCGGGGTTTCATTAATGTGGGGGGTTTCATTAAGATTCAGGGGTTTATGGAGATGTGGGGTTTCAGATTCAGGGGTTTATGGAGATGTGGGGTTTCATTAAGATTCAGGGGTTTATGGAATGTGGGGTTTCATTAAGATTCAGGGGTTTATGGAATGTGGGGTTTCATTATGATTCAGGGGTTTATGGAGATGTGGGGTTTCATTAAGATTCAGGGGTTTATGGAGATGTGGGGTTTCATTAAGATTCAGGGGTTTATGGAGATGTGGGGTTTCATTAAGATTCAGGGGTTTATGGAATGTGGGGTTTCATTAAGATTCAGGGGTTTATGGGAATGTGGGGTTTCATTAAGATTCAGGGGTTTATGGGAATGTGGGGTTTCATCAAGATTCAGGAGTTTATGGGAATGTGGGGTTTCATTAAGATTCAGGGGTTTATGGGAATGTGGGGTTTCATTAAGATTCAGGGGTTTATGGGAATGTGGGGTTTCATTAAGATTCAGGGGTTTATGGGAATGTGGGGTTTCATTAAGATTCAGGGGTTTATGGAGACGTGGGGTTTCATTAAGATTCAGGGGTTTATGGAGATGTGTGGTTTTATGGGCATTCATGGTCTTAAGGGGATGAAGGGTTTTATAGGGATGTGGGGTTTCAGGGGGATGCAGGGTTTTAAGGAGATGTAGGGTTTTATGGAAATTCTTTTTTTTTATAAGAATGCATGGTTTCATGTGGATGCAGGGTTAGCAATGCTGGGTTGCATAGGGATGCAGGGTTTATTGGAATTCTGGGTTTATGGGGATGCAGGATTTTATGGGGATGTTGGGTTATATGGGAATGCAGGCTTGTATGGAGATTATCGGTTTTATGGGGATGTGGGTTTCATGATAATTCTGGTTTCATGGGGATGTGGGATTTATGATAATTCTGGTTTCATGGGGATGTGGGGTTTCATGATAATCTGGTTTAATGGGGATGTGGGTTTCATGATAATTCTGGTTTCATGGGGATGTGGGGTTTTATGATAATTCTGATTTTATGGGGATGCAGAGGTATATGGTGATCTAGGGTTTCATGGGGATCTGGTATGGGATCTTGCATGAAGCAGACATTTACATCCAATAAGCAGGACACATAATAATATTTCATGGAACCCAATTCTAGTCAAGAAGTATGACGTTCCTGCAATAAAAGTAACTACTAAATCTTACAACACAGTACACTAAACCAAAATCTGTCATACAGACCTTGAAACAAATATATCCAAGAAACCCCATTGAAGCCTAGATTATGTGGCAAGTCTAGATTTCTACAGTTTGATGAAGAAAGTCTCTGGGCTCCTTTTTATTATATTTTATCATTATAAGTTAGGAACTGTTTTTTCTGTAAAACATGCTCAATTCAGAGACTATAACTTTATACAGGGGCAAATCCAGAGGCGGGGTGCAGGGGTGCTGGGGGGTGCACCCCCTCACCCCAAAACAAATTTTCCCTGAGGAGCATTTTAACCTAACCTTTGGACTTCATGATTTATGTGCACCCCTGTTCTCCCAAATCCTTGATCTGCTCCTGTTTACAGTATCATCTATGAAGGCCTTTGATCATAGTACTGATATATGGGGGTCCTCTGGTCAATTAGTTTGTTGGTCAAAATAAAAGGCTGATGATATATTGAATACAGCGACAGTTAAGTATGATTCTTTATGCTACTATCAGTCGTCATTTTAAGATTCCCGTAGATTTCTGTCTTCAAACTTGATGTGTTATGGTAACAACTCAGGGGCGAGCGTGGCTAGACTGAATGAATGACAGGTTTATTCGCGGTGTATAAATTTTCGCTCTAAAATGTTTTGCGCGAAAAGCCCGAAAATAAAACCTGCGCAAAATATAATACGTTTACAGTATTTTGATAACGAGATTGAGGAGGTTACTGGTACACTGGAAAATGTGAAAATTTAATGCCAGATTGCTATAAGGGCTCTTGTGAAACTTGGGAATATGTAAGAAAGAGCAAACCATTCCTTAAATGGCCAGATGTACACATATGAATGAGAATTAGAGATAACATGAGATAACACTACATTTATGCATTTAGCTAAAATGTGTTGAAAAAGCTGATTTGAGAACTTTTTTTCCAAGCAGGTTTTAAATATTTTCACATGAGCAAATCTTTGACTAATGGTGTCCTTTAGAAGAGATGCAAACATAAACCATTCAAACATGTGATAACAAATCTAACAAACCCTATAGATCTTCGTACCAGATTCACTGCTTAATTACCTGTTGATTGGGGCTGTGTAAGGCAAATAAACTGTATAGCCATATATGGAGATTGTGGTACTCGTATTGCAATACTCATTGCAATATATTGTCAGCTAAAGTGTTTGTCCTTGAGTGACACACAGTGATAGTACAAGCACACGTAAAGATCCGGGTAAGAACTGGTCTTCACTAACCCATGCTTGTCATATGAGGTGACTAACGGGATTGGGTGGTCAGGCTCGCTGACTTGGTTGATGTCATCGTACCGCAATTGAGTAGTCCGATGCTCATGCTGTTGATCACTAGATTGTCTGTACGGCGCTAAGCAACCAACCAACCAACTGATAGTACAAGCAGATCCTATTTTCTACATATTAAGGCCATAAAAATACATGCTATGGTTCTGATAACAACAATCTTTAATCTCTTGGATAGTTAAAGATTTATTTTTCAATTTTTCAAAAATTTATAGCATGTGAAGCAGGCCACTGTTTCAAAACATTACAAAGGGACACATTAGTTGTGAATGAAATTCTGTGTAGATTTTACCTTAAACCATAGAGACAATCACAAAAATGCTTATATTCTTTTACCCAACGTACTGGTTCTCAAACATTATATTGCAATACGGTTCTTTCAAAAAGTGTATTGCAGTATACCTGTATTCTGGTTACACTGTGTAGTGCTTTTCTACTCATATTAGCCTTTCATTTCATACTCAAATGACAGAGGTCATCAGCTTGTAAATACAAGAAAGACAAAAAGCTTTTTATCAACCATTTTATATTTTACATTTCGACCATTTGCACCAATCATACTTCATCATTCATAAGTAATAAATTGCGGTCAAGTAATCACTGAAGTATTATCCTGGAATGACAAATACATATTTTCCATCCTTTTGCTGAATAAGATTCTTCAAAGCACCCATCTTGCTAACATCCAGGTAGTACAACAGACCTCCCTCTAACTGACCACTGGGTAGCAGACAACTCACGGGCAGCTCTCCGACTCGTGTAAAACCAAAATAATCGGAGAGCTTTTGCATGACTGTGTTATTTCTCACCATGTTTAACAAAAGTCCAACATAACCAAAATCGCGTGCCAACAGAATTGATAAATGGAGGACCAAGTATCCTAGCTTTCGACCTCGTTCTGAACGTTTGACGACGAGGAAGGCTTCGACAACCACCTGAGTCCGGCATGTATGTCCGATACTGTTTCCCACACCTGCTATCAGCTCGCCTGTGTCCCGTCTCATGACCGCCAGCTTCTCACCTGACCCAACTTCAGATCGGAATCCTTCCTCATTCAGATATTCATCCATTCCATATCCTTCACCGTGTTGGGCGGCATCTTTAATCATTGCATACATCTCGGTCATCTGGGCATCGGTCAGGTGGTCAATGATGACGTCACTACCGTCGGGGAGAGTCAGAGTCAGGGGAAGGGGTATGCTCAAACGTTGGACAGGATCTGCCATGTCTGAATCTGAAATCAGTGATGTTATACTCAGGAGTGAAAATATGTATTTACAGTTGCTTACATCTGTGTTCACTGCTGTATCAACAGTTGTTTACATCTGTTTACTATTGTATTTACAGTTGTTTACATCTGTTTACTATTGTATTTACAGTTGTTTACATCTGTTTACTATTGTATTTTACTATTGTACAGTTGTTTACATCTGTGTTTACTGCTGTATCATGTTACACAAAGACCTGTTATGTTTGTTACAATGGCCGACTCCTAATCTGTTTTCTTAAATCCTGGTGAAAAATAATTCTCAAAGTTTTTCAAAGACATGATTCACTTAACATTATGGATGCACTGAAAAATTATCAATGGGGGAGAAAAAATAAAATTTTGGCTGCTTTCAATGACTGAAATTGCATGTTTGGATACTTTGACTTTAAAGACATGTTCTGCCTTAAACAGAAATCCCAGTTTCTGGTACAACAAAGGGAAGCAACTCAAACCTTAACTCATATTGTAACTGGGGTGGTGGGGTAGCCTAGTGGTTAAAGCGTTCACTTGTCCTGCTGTATACCCGACATGAGTACAATATGTGAAGCCCATTTCTGGTGTCCTCCACCGTCATATTACTGCAATTTTGCTAAAACTGGCGGAAAATCAAACTCACTTACTCATATTGTAACAGATATAGTGCCTGTCAGCGTCATGGGATATGGGTTCCAACATATTTCCTACTTGGAATGTACTCCCCGACTCTATGGTGGCTGAGACACTGTGATTGATCATGCAGTGTTATATAATGAAAGGCTTCAAGCTCCAGCGACCATCAAGCGATATAAGCAAAAACAACAACAGCAATTACTGTGGGCTCATTTGCATCTATTTTCTTTGCAAGATCAGACCTGCCATCACATTGGACTGTCATCACTAATAGGTTAAAGGAAAATCACTAGATGACATATCTTCAAAGTTGTGTTTGGGCATTTGAATCAAACATGGTGCTGGTGTGTTTCAGCACCCTTGTTTTTCAATGTTTTTAACAATGTTTCATTTCACTCAAACTCAACGAATATTGAATCAGTTGCTTCACTACATGTTCCAACATGTCGTTTAAAGTGCCCATTAAGCACACACAAAGTTGCATTTACCTCACCACATTTAAGTTTATGTATAACTATCAAATATTAGGGTGTTCCCATACTTTTTGTTTGTAGTATATTATCAAGAGCTCATTGTTATCACATCCTGGGGCGGATACAGCTTTTTGAGAAAGGGATGCATGTTCAGCACACCATTGACAAAATGGGGGTGCACATTTCATTTTCACCCGAGTCTCAATGGTCATTTAACAAACTTTCAGGACAAAAGGTGGGGTGCGTACCCCTGCACCCCCCTCTGGATCTGCCTATGACATCCTGGTAATCCTGATAATAATCGGTCAATCGATCGATCTCACTTGCATCAGCCCTTGGGAGACTAACTGATACTAGTATTCATACAAAAAATTAAACATCAAAAACCTTAGAAAGCATGTTTCTTATCGTTATGCTTGTTATATTAAGCTGGCAGTGGGGTAGCCTAGTGGTTAAAGCGCTGGCATCAAGACCCGGTTCAATACCCACATGGGTACAATGTGTGAAGCCCATTTCTGGTGTCCCCCGCCGTGATGTTGCTGGAATATTACTAAAAGCGGCGTAAAACCAAAAGTCAGTCAGTCAGTCAGTGTTATATTAAGCATAAATATTTACCCACCATAATACACCACAGTGTTTAGTCATGCAAATATGGAAGTCAATGTTGAATCACCACATTAATAGTTTAAGTCAATGTCTGGTTAACACAATACTGGTCGACGTCAAAATTTTGTCAACACAAAACTTAGAATAGAAATGTCTTCAGCAGTGACAGAAACAGGTAAATTGTTTCAACCACAAAATAAACCCCACAAAAAAGCTAGTGCATTTATAACCATTTTTACATGCATCAAACATCATATAGGTTTGCCTGTAAACTGTGAATTTTGTACACAATGTAAGTGCTTTGTACTTACATGATAGAGAGAGATGCTGACAGATATACAAGCTACTGTGATGGAAAGCACTGAAACAAAATACACAGCTGTCGCATCACGAAGCTGTGGTTTATCTGTACTCATGACACGTACGTTCTGACCTACATTTTGCATACATACAAAATTCTACACACAATTTGAAGCTCAGGTATTATTCAAGCACCAATTGGAACAAAAATAATTCAAAATTACGAGAACAATTTGCAGTCATTAAAACTCTTCCTCTTTCAAAGTTTGCACATATATTTTCATCCTTGCCTAACCGACAGAGGATTTCTGTAGTGATCATATATATAAACAGCATAGCCTTTAAAATCATTTGGAATAATAAACAGGGTAATATTAATAGAACAGCATAAACACAGAGATTACATGGATGAGGGACTCAGAATGAAAACTTGAATATTGTTATTGAATCTTTAAAGCTCCCCACTTTTCAAATATAGTATTATTAGTCCTAGCTGCTTTCCGTGGGGTAGCCTAGTGGATAAATTGTTTGCTTGTCACACCGAACATCTGGGGTTGATTCCCACATGGGTACAATATGCGAAACCCATTTCTGGTGTCCCCCTACCGTGATATTGCTGGAATATTGCTGAAAGTGTCATTAAACTAAGTTCACTCACTCACTTTTTCTATAATAGAAATCTTCAATATGGCAGCGATTACTGATTATTACTATTTTACTAAGGTTGACCATCCTTTTTGGAAAGATTAACTTTTGATTTGAGAAAGATATTACAGAAAACATACAATAAATCATGAAATAACTGAAAATATTTTATCAGAACCAGGCAGGTTAAACCATTACTCTAATTAGTTTAACGTTGTCAAAGTAAACTGGTATAAGAAAAATCCATTTCAAAATGGGCGTTCAACGTCCAAGGTATCTTTCCTTATATTAGTATTCTTAGAACTAAGCATAACATAAAGAGGACATTTTAGACTATAAAAGAATGTTGAATGATAAATCCTGCAATCCACCCGATCCCGTTAGTCGCCTCTTACAACAAGCATGGGTTACTGAAGATCAATTCTAACCTGGATCTTCACGGGGAGGAGACAAGCATGGGTTACTGAAGATCAATTCTAACCTGGATCTTCATGGTTCTAAACCCCCCCAAAATTAATGTGATTATTGTTGGTGACATGACTTGTTAATTTGGTGAAAATGAGCCAGAATCTGTTACATGTTTATATGGGATGCCACTATGTAATATCATTCATGACACAGCTGAATAACTTTCATAACAAAAGTGTACCTTTCTGAAATTAAGTTTGATAAAAATAAGATAACTATTTGCCATCAATGACAAAAACTGTAATCATATGATACATGAGGTCTCACCTTAGGCAAGTGAGTTTGTTCAAAATTGCTTCTGTTCACCTAGCAGAAAATGGGTACCCGGTGGGGTAAGTCATGTGGCTGTTAACCTAGTGCCTCATAGGCTGCTTGGGTTATCCAAGGTAATAATCATCAGATCGTGCGCTTTGACTCAACATCCTTAAGGTTGGAAATACTGCCATAGAAATGCACTATTATTATTATTATTATTATTATTATATTTAAGTAAAAGATGTATGCATGTCTGGTAATAAAGAGAAAAATCAACACTGATCTCTTTCATAAAAATATGAAAAAAACCCACTGATCCTAGCTGAAAAATTCCTGGCAAAAGCAAATATCTCAATGAATTTTTTTGTATCAATGGTCTTAGACTATCTGATCTGGATGACCTATTTTGCCAAGAGTGAGTGAGTGAGTGAGTTTAGTTTTACGCTGCTTCTAGCAATATTCCAGCAACATCACAGCAGGGGACACCAGTACTAGGCTTCACACACTGTACCCATGCGGGGAATCAAACCCCTGTCTTCAGCATGAAGAGCAAACTCTTAGCCACTAGGCCACCTCTGACCGCCCTATTTTGCCTGAACACAATTGGTTTTAAGAAGTACCCTAAACACATGATCATAAAGATATAGTATTACTGTATGTGTGTACACACAGGGGTGGAAATAACTTTAAAATTGCTAGTGTACTCCGGTACAGTGGCACATGTAAAATCACTTGCCCTGATAATTTTTCCACTATACCGGACGTTTTCTTGTTGATTTTTAAAATAAACAACATAATTAATATTTGGAAAGTCAACTGGACACCGGTACAGTGTGATATACAAATTTGCTTGCCCGACAGAAAAAAACACTGGACTCGGGCGTCGGGCAATGGGTTATTTCCACCCTTGATTTTTAAAATAAACAACATAATTAATATTTGGAAAGTCAACTGGACACCGGTACAGTGTGATATACAAATTTGCTTGCCCGACAGAAAAACCACTGGACTCGGGCATCGGGCAATGGGTTATTTCCACCCCTGACACAGTATATGATTCAATTTCTTAATGATACCAAATTTTAAACAATGCAATGTACCTTGAAACCATATCATGACATATGAGCAAGTTTTGATCTGGCAAGAGTTTAAGGACTAAATTTCCAAAACAAAATAAAACAGGGTTTACCTTGACTTACAAAAGTGGGGATCAAGGGCACCCTAAGCAATAAATTTTATGGTCCTTACAGTTAATATGTAATACTGGTAATAAGTCTCCCACATACAGTGTTGTAAACCTCAAATGCTTATCATTTTACTGACTTAGTGATCATATGCAGTCTGTTGCAATAACAGACAATTACAATACATAAAGTTCATTATGGGGGCGGGGGTAGCCTAGTGGTTAAAGCGTTGGCTTGTCAAACCGAAGACCCAGGTTCGAATCCCCACATGGGTACAATGTGTGAAGCCCATTTCTGGTGTCCCAGGCTGTGATGTTGCTGAAATATTGCTAAAAGCGGCGTAAAACCAAACTCAGTCAGTCAGTCATTATGAATTTCTATACACCTTAAACCATAACATGTTTTCACATTCTAAAATGATAACTTTCCAATTTCAACCCATATAAATCTGTGATAAATTAAATTTGAATGCAATTTGCATTGCACAATGCAGCTTAGATTATCGGCAAGACCATTCATGAGGTATTAAACAATGAAGTCCTTGTAACTGAATTATTTCATAAAGTTGAATACCTACCAGTTGTACTAATAATGACACCCCCTTCCCCCTCAGTCCCCAAAAAGAAAAAAGTGCAAAAGAAAAACAATCTTGGCTAAAATGAATGTGTGTTTAAGAAATAGGTTTCAATAAATGATTTCAGATTTCAGAATGTGCATACTGTCAGACTTCATTATCACCTGAACATGCCGTGTTGCAACAAAGCAATATATACCATTCAAAGAAAGTAGGGATATTGGATTTACAAGATTGATAAAATGCAAATGATGAAGCCAAGGAGGAAACAGATGATGAAGAGAAATTATGGGAAAATGTGACCATTTATTCCATTCCTTTGGAAATGGTTCATCTGTATGGATATATATTACTTTTCTCATATTCATTGGCATTGGCTAGTGGTATGCTCACTATATGGAATATCCCCTACATTTTTGGAATGGTATATAATAGGCAGTGTGAAAATGAAAGTCATATAATTAGAAAGCATTTAATGCACATGCTACTCTCACCCTAATGGCATCACAGAAGTGCATAACCATGACAAAATGCCACATGACATTGAGTGAGTGTGAGTAAGTGAGTGAGTGAGCAAGTGAGCAAGTGAGTATGATTTTATGTTGCTTTCAGCAATATTCCAGCAATATCACGGCAGGGGAAACAAGAAATGGGCTTCCCACAAAATGTTACATGACATGACATGGGAGGGGTGGAGATCAAAGTATTTCTAAGATCCATCTTGTACGGATCACACTTCCATATATATAGCGAGTAGTTATCGGCATTCGCCATCCCTTCTTTCAAGTACTCTGTGGAGCGGTGGGGTAGCCTAGTTGTTAAAGCGTTCATTCGTCACGCCGAAGACCCAGGTTCGATTCCCCACATGGGTACAATGTGTGAAGCCCATTTCTGGTGTCCCCTGCCGTGATATTGCTGGAATGAATATTGCTAAGAAAGCGGCATAAAACTAAACTCACTCACTTACTTTCAAGCACTCTCATGACCTCATCTAGTGTATGTGTTACTTATTCCTCGTCATGAGAACAGGGAAATATAAAAACAAAACCGACACATGTAGGGAAATATTTAAAAAAACAACTCACAATTTAGTACCTCAAACAGCAGTTATTGTCTCAATCCTTGCCAGAAACATGTAAAAACAAGCAACAATCTAAGCCTGAGCCAATATTATTTCAGTTATAAGCTAAGCCCGGTAAACAGTTTTGTTAACTAACTGTACTTTTAGATTTTACCATGGTTACCTCAGAGTGAGTGAGTGAGTTGGGTTTTACGTCGCTTTTAGCAACATTCCACAAACATCACAGTGGGGGACACCAGAAATGGGCTTCACACATTGTACCCATGTGGGGAATCGAACCCGGGTCTTCGCGTGACGAGCCAACGCTTTAACCACTATGCTACCCCACCGCCCGGTTACCTCAGAAATCCATGGCAATGTTACAGATTGGTAAACATAAAATATTCCAGCATACTATGGAATCTCCTGGAATGTATTTCAGGGACATTCCTCTTTAGTCACATATTACATGAAGACTAGTGGTCGTATATTTACCCTGGTTGTCCGGCCTAGGTCTGTTGTGAAAGCTTGACCACAGCTGTTGTTGGAGAATGGTATTATCACTGACCCAACAGCTGTTACCGTTGCTGTGTTATTTCATGCTGCCATTGAATTTTGTGCGGCCACTCTATTGTGAACATGCATTGTTGTTAATAGGGAGGAATTCGTATCGATTTGTGGACCTAGTTATTTTGTGACACAGTTATTGATTGTATAAATTTTGTCAGTTGTTTGCAGGTTTCACACAGAATTCTTTTGTGTGTAGATTTTTATACTGTTGTAAAGCAGGAACGTAACATGATATTCAATTGCGTGTGTGGCTTTTGTTTGTGTCTGTGTGTGTGCACGCGTGTGTCTGTGTGTGCATGTGTGTTTGTGTGCACGCACATGTGTCTGCTTGTGCATGGTGTGTGTCTGTGTGTGCATGTGTGTGAGTGAGTGAGTGACATTTGTTCTGGGAGGTGGGATATGGGGAGTGGGGGTGGGATGTGTCATAAATTTTGTACACATGAACAGGGGTGGGGGTGTCAGCAAGTTTCTATAGAAAGATGTTGAAATATGCGTAAAAATTATGGAAGGGAGGGAGGAGGTCATTGATTTGGTATATGACATGCTGGTCGGGTCACATACTTTGTACTTTTGTAGATAAAGTTTAGTGGGGGGAGTGGGGCATTTGCATTGTACATGCTTCTCCATAAAAATCATCACCACACACACGCACACACACACACACGCAACACACACACGCACACACAGAGCCACAAGTTATGAACGGTACCTTAAAACAAGATACTGGATATACACATTCTGGCCTTGCATCATCCACAGAAGTGCAACATTAACACTGAGAAAAAACATTAAAAAGTTGCGCAGTTGAGAACTAGCACAGTCAGACATCGGTAAAGTTCTGTTGCAACAGTTTTGATTCCTTCTCATCGCATTCAGGCGTGTAGTAAGCCATTTTTTTGTGTGTAAATCCGATAGGTTGCAAAGCTACTGTATATATTTAGAAAGTATTGACGGCTTACCCAACTTTCAGTTTCATAGAAAAAATAATAATGTGTAATCCCGGTCTTTTTATATAATGGTAGCTATAAATCTACTCTAACCTTTCCACGTACTGAAGGACCTTAAAATTCCGCGAGTCTATGATCAGCAAACGAGATATTCCGATATTTGCGCCTTGTTTGATAAATAAAAAAAGGTATTGTTACAGTCATGGACACTCAATAACAAGACTTAGCGGCCACAGGTAATTTAATTAGATACACGGAACATAAACGAAAATGCACGAAGAGTAGGTTAGTTCCGGGAGAATATATAATGTTGTAGATTATCCCTGGTTAGTTGAAGGTTAGCAAAGAAGTGTTGAATAACAATTATTTTACGTTACTGCCATTAACTTAATGCGGAATAACAGGATGAATGCTTACATTGTCGAGGTCGTTGTAAAGCACGCTGGAACACCTTTTCCCAGCTGTGAAACCATTAGCTGTATTAGAGTTATCTCCCTTGGACTGAAGAACCCTCTTCCGGGTCCAAATGCTCGTCTCCCCACTAAGCATATTTTTGGTTATGAGTCAACTCGTTCAGAGACACTTTTATGTATATGATATCATCTGTATCGTAATACCTATTTCCTCTAATAAGCGCTTGGGTGCTTATTTTGTTCAATGAACTTCCAGACCTGGCGCTTATTAGAGGCCCGGCGCTTATTGCTCTTCATGACTGACATAGGAATCCCAACTTGAAAGAGGCCTCCCAAATGCATTAGATGAATATTTTATTGCAACCAATTTCAATGACAAAAATCCCTACCTGTAACAAGAGACAGTGTGACTCTAGGTGTAACAACTCTATTAACAATGCTAGTAACAGCACGCCTTCCGCGCTAATGGTAGTCTGTCACACAGTCCCTGAACCACATTATTTTCCCAACTGCCTAGCCCTCCCTGCAACGTTAAGCCCTAAATGAAACAAGTTGAGATTTCCTCAGGTTCTGCATCTCACATCTCACTGGGGATCCTTTTCAACTTAAATGTGATTATTTGTTACTATCAAAATTATATATATATATTCAGAGACTAAGCGTCAGTGAACGCTCATCGGAGTACGCCGGCCGGCACAGCTCAGCACAGCTCGATCAAGCATTCATTAGGGGATTTATTGTAAATGAATTGTATTCAATTACCGTTTAGGGTGCACACACACTACGTCCAATTATGCGATGCGTCATGCGATACGTAGTCTGTCGTACAGACCCTGAAGCAAATATATCCACGAAAGCCCACACAAGTCTAGAAAATGTGGCAAGTCTAGATTTCCTCAGCTGAAAATGAAGAAGGTCTCAGGGCTCCTTTTCATTTATATTTTATATTTTTTTACTATGAACTTTTTTCAGTAAAATATGTTCATTTCAGAGACTAGTTGTTAGTCTATGCGATATGATGCGTCATGCGATACGATGCGTTGCGTTGCGTTGCGTTGCGTTGCGTTGCGTTGCGTTGCGTTTCGTTTTTCCCCGCTCACACTACATGCGTTTTGCTTTTGCTATTTATACCTTTGTAACCTTGTAGACACTCCTTACATATAAATACTCCTTCAGACTGATCAACATCAATTATTTACTGCTGTATATTTGGCAAAGAAGTTAAACATATACAACGTAGGCTTTTCTGAAAGAATAAAAGAAATACAATTTTTTAAATTGTATTGTTCTCGGTTATGTTATGGGGAGGGATTAGTTGTTGCACTTGATATTGTACTGTCTTACTGCCGGTGTTGCTGAGGCAAATGTATTGGCAAGGATGTAATAATTTATACCCCGTATTTCCAGTAATCAGCGAGTAACAAGCTTTACCGGGATTAGGTGAAGTACGCGGAGGTGGGGTAGTAGTTGAAGCGTTCGCTCGTCACGCCGAAGGTCCGGGTTCGATTCCTTACATGGGTACAATGTGTGAAGAACATTTCTGGCGTCCCCCATCTAGTATTGCTGGAATATTTCTAAAAGCAGCGTAAAACTAAAACCACTCACTAAACCCAGTTTCACCTCTCCAAGACAAGAAAGCTATGGCGCCGAATATCACAACAACAACAGTAGCAGCAGCAGCAGCAGCAGCAAACAACAACAACAACAACAACAACAGCATAATAATCAGGGAAAATCAAACTGAATTACGACATATACCACCTGGTAGCACTTGCTCTTTGTATTACAGAAAGTGCATTCGTTTTACCTCCTGGTGAAACTGACCACAGCGTCACTGACTGACTGACTGACTGAGTTTAGTTTTACGCCGCTTTTAACAATATTCCAGCAATATCACGGCGGGGGACACCAGAAATGGGCTTAACACATTGTGCCCATGTGGGGAATCGAACCCGGGTCTTCGGCGTGACGAGCCAAACAGCGTCACTACATAGTATTAAGATATATAGCACGTTGGTCCTATTTTTGTATATTGACGGATATATTCTTCGAACAAAATACACTGTATCTGCCACATATACATGTAAGTTGTTTGGTTGTAAAGACGATGCGCATTTGTTTTCAATCCTTGGCTGTAGCAGGAACGCGTGAGGCCTCAATGGACACTGATCAAACTGTTCCATACGTAAAATTATCCGTTAATACCAAGTAATTCTTCCAAAGTTACTAATATACAGTTAAAGCCATAATTTCTGATAAAATAAGTTTCATTTCATCGTAGCAAAAAATGTCTTTGAAATTATAGGCTTTTTTAAACTGCATCACAGGTAGAGTTGTGAAAACAGCTGATTGCTGATTGTTTGATTACGAGAACATCCATAAAATAATCTCTATACCTTTGAATAAAACTGTGCCTGATAGGACCAGAAATACAATATAAACATAAAATACCTGGCTTTCTTTTTATAGTCGACTTTGAAAAGCATTTGATACGTTTGAAAGGAATTTTATAGACACAGCATTAGAATGTTTCAACTTCGGCCCCTCTGCAACATATGTTATATTTGGGATTACACTTTCTTAGTAAAGTACAAATTATAGTAGTTTTGGGGTTGAGTCCGATCCGGGATTCGAACCCACACCCAGACACCTATCGCCAGCACACAAAGTCAGCCGCCCAACCCGCTCAGCCACTGCGACTTCCACAAAAATGGAAGTCAGACAACTGGTAGTCTAGACTGCGGACTTTGTGTACCCCTCTGATAAGTATAAATTGGCACGGCTCACACGGCCGAAACCTATGATTACACAATGCCATTTAGAAAGTGGTCAAATGCAACATATGCTACATTTGTATATCTGGGATTACACTTTCTTAGTAAAGTACCAATTCAAGTACTCACCCCAAAAAGTACTAGAATTTGTACTTTACTAAGAAAGTGTAATCCCAAATATAACATATGTTGCATTTTACCACTTTCTAAATGGCATTGTGTAATCTTCGGCCCCTCTTTTTCAAAATGGGTCAAACTATTCCAATCAAGTATCTGCAGTGCTACTATTAATGCTGGCCACGTATCAGATTATTTCAATCTTGGTAGAGGCTGTTGATAACTGGATCCTTTGTCGCCATGTATGTTTCTCGTATGCGCTGAATTACTTTCAAACGCAGTCAAAAAGAATAAAAACATAAAAAGTATTGACATAAATGGCGTAACGTATACAATATTTCAAAATGGAGACTACACGTGTATGCAAATTTTAATCCTGTTGGATCAGAAACTAGTCTTGCTGAACTAATATCTGTACTGGACAAATTTGCTGTATGCTCAGGATTAAAAATATATTGCGAGAAATCTAGAGCAATATGGATAGGATAAAAAAGTAGCAATGAACAACTCTGTCCACATCCCTATGCAGTGGTCCAAAGAACCTTTCAAAATCTTAGGTATTGTTTTTGATACAAATCTAAGTGCGATGAACTTTGCTAAACAATATATATGGTAGAGATGCCAAAGTCACCCAGAGGCACTGGAACAAGTCACTCTACACATCCCACTTTACCGATACGGGTGTGGCGTTGATTGAACGTCACGCACAGAGTTATGTTCGTGAGGTTGTCCAATTTGGAGGGGACAACGTCATGGTTTGAGGAGTATTCTGTTCCAACGGCCGATTTCAACTGATTGTCGTCCAGGGGGTTCTTACTGTCATACAGTTTATGACCCCAGTCCACCTGCCATCCATGCGGTTACATTTCTGGATTCAATACGACGACTCTACGTCCCATACTGCAGTTCTAAAGCGCAACTTCTCGCCTAACATTGGTGTTAATGTCATAGACTGGCCTTCCCATTCCAGAGACTTCAAGTCGATCGAACACAATTTGGATAAACAAGGGGAAGCCGAGTACGATAGCGATTCAACCCCAGATCCTGCAATGAGCTTGGAAGGCTCTCGTTGACCAATGAGGACGACTTCCGGTTAGAATGTTCCAACATGTTCTCCTGACACGGCTAAGGAGCTCACATTTGTTTTACTTCTTCAGTTCCAACAGTTTTATCACTGTGAAGTTCGCATTTAGGGGTCATGGAACGTTGTGGATTGTTTTTTGTTCTTGTATTTTTAAAAAAAATAATGCAATGCACTTTTCATCATCTTTTCATTATTACAGCAGTATGATACCATAGGCTATAAAATAAATATTTAATAATATATTATAATAATGTATTATATGGTCTCTGATGATACTTATCTACGTTCATAATAATGCTCACACTACTTCCATAGCGGGATTTAGTTTGTCAGGTTTTTAGATTGTGTGAGTATTCGAACTGCACAAAGACGCCTACGATTTAATGAATTGGTCAGGTTTCTATTTACTTCAGCTGATAAGATCTATTCATGCATCTTGGTATTGTCCATGGATCCATGGATCGTCAGGTGGTACATATGTTCCTAGAGCCATTCATTTTCCACCACGGCTTCGTTCCGGAAGTGACGTCACCCGTTCCATCTTCTTAACCCCAACTTACCCTTAAGTGAGTGAGTTTAGTTTTACGCTGCACTCAGCAATATTCCAGCTATATGGCGGTAGTCTGTAAATGATCGAATCTGGTCCAGACAATCCAGTGATCAACAGCATGAGCATCCATCTACATTAGTGGGTTACGATGACATGTGTCAAGTCAGCGAGCCTGACCACCCGATCACGTTAGTCGCCTCTTACGACAAGCATGGGTTACTGAAGATCAATTCTAACCCGGATCTTCACGGGTTCTTACCGTTCAGAAGCGTACATGTTCATAATACGTCATAGTTCAAAACACATTTTGTTCAAATAATTGACAGGACCATTACTCGAACGTCTATCTAGAAACATGACAACAGCGTTCATCTCGGCTCACACAGTGGGACCTGTGCCTGTGCGTAAGTTTCCGTAGTCCTCAACACTACTTCCGGTTTTGACGACGCATATTTCTCAACACGGCGATCGCTGTAGTAAAATGAGTTGGGATGTGGCAGGAATGTGTCCTTCCAGGGCTGTCTGCAGTATTTGTTTTCTGTCTGTTTTCCTACCTTCTGTCTCCACTGTGAAAAAAATGTAAGTCACTTTCCATGTGCATTGTTTGTTTGCATGATCGATATTCAATTGCGCACGCACGCACGTACATACACACACGCACATATGTATATACACTTACATTCCGGAAGCGAATCCTTTAACCACCAGACAATTGCAGAGTCTGTGACATCTAGTTTACATGATTTAATTCGGATTAGATTTTAAAAACGTAATGTTTATAAAGGCTAGATTCATGCTTTGGGCTCCTTCCAATCAATTCGTTGTCATGAATTCAGTCTCTTTCAGTCTTTCACTGACGAGTTTTGAAATAAGTCTACCGTAATGAACCAACGAAGGGACACTACTCTGTAATACTTCACGTGTAATGTTGAAGCTTTCCCAGGGTCGGATCTCGATATGGATACAGTGTTTGGAATCCATTGCTTGACTGACCCCCTGACTGTCTCACATTCACTCAGTCACTCAAATAACTCACCAACTCACTCGTCACATACTCCAGCTGGCAACTATCCCCTTACTCAACCCGCCCCAACTCTCCCCACACCACCAAAACAACCAACTCACTCAAGCAACTTACCCACTTACCACGCAAAGCCCATCCAACTCACGCTTGCAATACAAACTGTTTGTTTCAGATGACATGGGTACGATGTGTGGAGACAGACTAGACATGGATGTAGCAGGACTTGAGAACTTGGAGATCACCAACAACGTCGCTGTTGAAAGCGGACGTAACTGTGACTTCACCGTCTTGGCACCTGCAGGCAAGATGATGATGGCGACCTTCACCTTCGTCGAATTTACCCCGGGCATTTTCTGTGAGAGTGCCGGTTACGTGACGCTAAATGGTATGTATTTTATTATCAAGAACATGGCAACCAATATAACACCGACTACAGACCCACACGCAGTTAAGTGAGTGAGCAACTTTAGTTTTACGCCGATTTGAGCAATATCCTAGCAACATCACGGCTGGGGACACCAGAAATGGGCTTCACACATTGTACCCAAGTGGGGAATCGAACACGGCTCTTCGGGGTGACGAGCGAACGCTTTAACCACTTGGCTACCCCACCGCGCCGCAAGCAGTTTAAGAGTAGCCACACAGACAGTGTTACAAAAGTCAAACACTGCCCCGATTTCTCGAAACAATCTTAAGTCTGAGTTTTGACTTAAGTTAGAGTTTTTTACTCAAATTTGAGAAAACGCATTTCCCAGAATGAACTGAAATCAATATTTAATTCAAACATAGTAGATAATTTGAGTTTGGTGAATAGAATACTGAAGTTGTTTGGGCTCTTTTTATTTAAAAAATACAGATTAGTTAAAATTCAGCCGTTTCAAATAGTCAAACTCAGTTTGAAATTTGAGTAAAAACTTAAGTTTGTTTCGAGAAATCGGGGCCCGATCTTAGTCCGATCGTAGCCGGTCCCGATCTTACGATCCGATCCAAGCTTAGATCGAGACTCTTTCGTGCGAGAGATAGAGGAATGAGAGGCACGAGTTATCTCCCTTTGCATAGTCTAGCAAGTGATGGAAGTAGTTTACGAACCAACTGAGTGAGTGAGTGAGTTTAGATTTACGCCGCACTCAGCAATAGTCCAGCTATATGGCGGCGGTCTATAAATAATCTAGCTAAGATGCATAGCGTTCACTAACATGAGCGTTCATGTTAGTGAACGCTATGTATCTTAGCTATAAATAATCGAGACTGGACCAGACAATCCAGTGATCAACAGCATGAGCATGGATCTGCGCAGTTGGGAACCGATGACATGTGTCAACCAAGTCAACGAGCCTGACCACCCGATCCCGTTAGTGGCCTCTTACGACAAGCATGGGTTATTGAAGTTCAATATTCTAACCCGGGCCTTCATGGGTATTTTTCCAACCAAGTGTAAACGTGGAGAAAAAACCTAGAGCAAAATATTAGGGTAGTGAGCACCTTGGTTTCAGGTGCAAGTGCGTGTGAACGCTGGGTATCAGGCATAATAATAATAACAATAAATACATATTTATAATGCGCCTATTCCACATCCTGGGGCATGCTCAAAGCGCTATGTACAGATAATTTACACGAGAGTATTTACAGCCGACATTCAGGGGCGGATACAGCTTTTTGAGAAAGGGGGGGTGCACACTATTGAGAAAAGGAGGGGAGCACACTTCATTTTCACCCGAGTTTCAATGGTCATTTAACAAACTTTCAGCACAAAAGGGGAGGTGCGCACCCCTGCACCCCCCCTCTGGATCCGCCTATGGACATTATAAGTAATAATGTACTGAGAACAGGTTTTAAGTTTGGACTTTAAAAATGTCAATTGTGTCAGAGCTTTTAATATGTGCCTGAACCTTGTCAATCAGAATAAACAATGCGTGAGGAGGCATCCTCTATAACGTATGTAAAATCTGTCAGTGGTCTTGCATAATAACACGCGGCCTGCCTTTAGAATCCCCCACCAAATAAGCGCACGTGAAATCAAACATATTTGTATCTTTTTGCTTCAGAACATTGTTCACTTCACGGCTGTCCCTATTCTTAACCATGACGTTGCAATATTGTTGTACAAATGTGTTACACCGACTCGCTCGGTTGTGTTCCCATGACGACAGTGGTCAGACTGGCCTGACATTTGTAAGGCTTCAGTGCAGTGTTTGTTTACATCACAGAAATATACAAATTCATTTCATGGGGGATTTTAGGGGACGCTCACGGTGAAATCCGCGCTTATTTTTCACATAGAATAGGAAAGCCACCATTTTGGTTTTTCTACGATTGATTTTAGCTATCCGAAGTTGGTCATGAGCAACTTAGACTTTGAATCTTAACTTTACGATTGACTTAGGTAAGATTGGTTAGTGGAACGGTATGCCGATCGTAACGTCACGCTAAGATTGGGATTTTAAGGGTTTACGATTGGCCCAGGGCTAAGATTGGTTAGTGGAACGGCACCCTGGACTGATCACTTGCACAAAGCGATTCTAGCTCTATAATGACAGTAACTCCCATTCTCCAACATAGGCTTAAGATAGTCGTAGCGCTAAGATCGCTTTGTGTAAGTGGGCCCTGGGTGCCGTTCCACTAACCGATCTTATCTAAGATCAATCTTAGCAAGTTACGCCAATTTTACAATCGTCTTAGCTAAAAGTTACACCCGTTCCACTAACCGATCCTAGGCCGATCGTAGCCGGTCCCGATCTTACGATCCGATCCAAGCTTAGATCGAGACTCTTTCGTGCGAGAGATAGAGGAATGCGAGGCACGCGTTATCTCCCTTTGCATAGTCTAGCAAATGATAGAAAGTAGTTTACGAACCAACTGAGTGAGTGAGTGAGTTTAGATTTACGCCGCACTCAGCAATAGTCCAGCTATATGGCGGCGGTCTGTAAATAATCTAGCTAAGATGCATAGCGTTCACTAACATGAGCGTTCATGTTAGTGAACGCTATATCTTAACTATAAATAATCGAGACTGGACCAGACAATCCAGTGATCAACAGCATGCGCATCGATCTGCGCAGTTGGGAACCGATGACATGTGTCAACCAAGTCAGCGAGGCTGACCACCCGATCCCGTTAGTGGCCTCTTAGTGGCCTCTTACGACAAGCATGGGTTATTGAAGTTCAATATTCTAACACGGTCCTTCATGGGTATTTTTCCAACCAAGTGTCAACGTGGAGAAAAACCTAGAGCAAAATATTAGGGTAGTGAGCACCTTGGATTCAGGTGCAAGTGCGTGAGAACGCTGGGTATCAAGCATAATATAATAATAATAAATGCCCATTCCACATCCTTGGGCATGTTCAATGCGCTGTGTACAGATAATTTACACGAGAATAATTACAGCCGAGATTATAAGTAATATACTGAGAACAGGTTTTAAGTCTGTACTTTAAAAATGTCAATTGTGTCAGAGCTTTTAATATGTGCCTGAACCTTGTCAATCAGAATAAACAAGGCGTGACGAGGTATCCTCTATAACGTATGTAGAATCTGTCAGTGGTCTTGAATAACACGCGGCCTGCCTTTAGAATCCCCCACCAAATATGCGCAGTGAAATCAAACATATTTGTATCTTTTTGCTTCAGAACATTGTTCACTTCACGGCTGTCCCTATTCTTAACCATGACGTTGCAATATTGTTGTACAAATGTGTTACACCGACTCGCTCGGTTGTGTTCCCATGACGACAGTGGTCAGACTGGCCTGACATTTGTAAGGCTTCAGTGCAGTGTTTGTTTACATCACAGAAATATACAAATTCATTTCATGGGGGACTTTAGGGGACGCTCACGGTGAAATGCTCGCGCTTATTTTTCACATAGAATAGGAAAGCCACCATTTTGGTTTCTCTACGATTGATTTTAGCTATCCTTAGTTGGTCATGAGCAACTTAGACTTTGAATCTTAACTTTACGATTGACTTAGGTAAGATTGGTTAGTGGAACGGTATACCGATCGTAACGTCACGCTAAGATTGAGATTTTAGGGGTTTACGATTGGCATAGGGCTAAGATCGGTTAGTGGAACGGCACCTTGGTACTTTATTAAGGGTGGGAGTTTGAACGATTAGAAAGTGTGTATGTGAATGTGCGTGCTTGCGTGCTTGTGTGTATGTATGTGAGTCTATGTGCGTAAGTGTGTGAACGTGTGTTTGAGGAAATAGTGGTTTGGGGTTCATTATATTATGATACGGTGCTGATTTTACAAATTATAAAACAAGTTATAAAAGTGAACATTATATTGGGACTGATAATCTATTACAGTGGTGCCAGAATGAAATCGTACAGTATTGTCTCTGTTCTACGGGTCAATCAGAATAAACAAGTTCTTCTTCCTAACAGTTTATTTGCCACCCGAATTGTATATACTCTCATCTTTGTCCTACACCTCGCTTACTACTAATAATCGATCGTCATGCTGAAGACCCGGGTTCGATTCCCCATATGGATACAATTTGTACCCCCTCGTGATATTGCTGGAATATTTGCTAAAAGCGGCGTAAAACTAAACACACTCGCTAATGATCGAACATTTTATTGTCTCTGTAGCTTACAGTTCACTTGCAACAAGAATGAACAGGTAGACAGATCACGAAGGAACCAGTATATCATTATCTGTCTATCCTACACTCCTTGAAATACTAAGGAACAGGTGTATCATTGTCTCTCTATTCTATATTTCACTTGGAGCAAGAAGCAACAAGTATATCATTGCCCATCTATACTACTTATACCTTCCACGTGGAACAAGAAGCAACAAGTATATCATTGCCCATCTATACTACGTATACCCTCCACGTGGAACAAGAAGCAACAAGTATATCATTGCCGATCTATACTACGTATACCCTCCACGTGGAACAAGAAGCAACAAGTATATCATTGCCCATCTATACTACGTATACCCTCCACGTGGAACAAGAAGCAACAAGTATATTATTGCCCATCTATACTACGTATACCCTCCACGTGGAACAAGAAGGAACAAGTATATCATTGCCGATCTATACTACGTATACCCTCCACGTGGAACAAGAAGCAACAAGTATATCATTGCCCATCTATACTACGTATACCCTCCACGTGGAACAAGAAGCAACAAGTATATCATTGCCCATCTATACTACGTATACCCTCCACGTGGAACAAGAAGCAACAAGTATATTATTGCCCATCTATACTACGTATACCCTCCACGTGGAACAAGAAGGAACAAGTATATCATTGCCGATATATACTACGTATACCCTCCACGTGGAACAAGAAGCAACAAGTATATCATTGCCCATCTATACTACGTATACCCTCCACGTGGAACAAGAAGCAACAAATATATCATTGCCCAACTATACTACGTATACCCTCCACGTGGAACAAGAAGCAACAAGTATATCATTGCCCATCTATACTACGTATACCCTCCACGTGGAACAAGAAGCAACAAGTATATCATTGCCCATCTATACTACGTATACCCTCCACGTGGAACAAGAAGCCACAAGTATATCATTGCCGATCTATACTACGTATACCCTCCACGTGGAACAAGAAGGAACAAGTATATCATTGCCCATCTATACTACGTATACCCTCCACGTGGAACAAGAAGCAACAAGTATATCATTGCCCATCTATACTACGTATACCCTCCACGTGGAACAAGAAGCCACAAGTATATCATTGCCCATCTATACTACGTATACCCTCCACGTGGAACAAGAAGCAACAAGTATATCATTGCCCATCTATACTACGTATACCCTCCACGTGGAACAAGAAGGAACAAGTATATCATTGCCCATCTATACTACGTATACCCTCCACGTGGAACAAGAAGCCACAAGTATATCATTGCCCATCTATACTACGTATACCCTCCACGTGGAACAAGAAGCAACAAGTATATCATTGCCCATCTATACTACGTATACCCTCCACGTGGAACAAGAAGCAACAAGTATATCATTGCCCATCTATACTACGTATACCCTCCACGTGGAACAAGAAGGAACAAGTATATCATTGCCCATCTATACTACGTATACCCTCCACGTGGAACAAGAAGCCACAAGTATATCATTGCCCATCTATACTACGTATACCCTCCACGTGGAACAAGAAGCAACAAGTATATCATTGCCCATCTATACTACGTATACCCTCCACGTGGAACAAGAAGGAACAAGTATATCATTGCCCATCTATACTACGTATACCCTCCACGTGGAACAAGAAGCCACAAGTATATCATTGCCCATCTATACTACGTATACCCTCCACGTGGAACAAGAAGGAACAAGCATATCATTGTTTCTCTATTCTACATTTCACTCGCAACGAGAACAAATAAGTAAGATCGCCATCATATACCTGGGATATTTTAGAGCGGATGTTGAACACCAAACAAAGAAACAAATACATACGACCCAGCATGAAACAGCTTTTACTCATCCTCCATCTTACGTTTTTGACATGTTCCTGATTTTGTAGGGGCGGTGTGGGTAGCTCAGTGGTTAAAGCGTTCACTCGGATTCGATTCCCCACATGGGTAAATGTGTGAAGCCGTTTTATGGTGTCCCCAGCGATGATATTGCTGGAATATTGCTAAAAGCGGCGTAAAGCCATACCCACTCACTCCTGGTACTGTAGTCCACTTTTTATAGGTACGTTTTTTGCGAAAGGATGTCTCTCTTTCCTCCAGGTGAGAGATGCAGGACGCGGTTTCCTGTTCCCAACGTCCCCCGCCTTTTCCCACGGGTCGACCTCTCCATCGCTTTCAGGCCAGGTGGAAACAGGGATGGACCACGCTTCAGTCTCCTCCTCACTGCATACAGTAATGGTTGGTGGTCTGTTAGCACTCTGTATTGTACATTGAGTAACGGTTGTTTTATGCATTTAGTGAAGGTTGGTAGTCGACTAACCTTGTGTAGTTTGCATTCAGTGAAGGTTGGTGATCGGACAATTGAGATTTCATTGCGATGCAGCCATATTGCGAGGCGCAACTTCCGATACTAAGCTGGTTCCCGGCTCCCTTAGCACGCGCCTGCTTGCGATAAGCGAGACGGGGCCCAGTTTACTTCCGGTACCTGATTTCCGGTGACAAGCGTATATTAAAGAACCAGTTCTGGTTCCAAATTGCGCTAAATATGACTTTACTAGACTGGACCAAGTGCACAGCCATGCATGGCTATTGACAGTCATGATAGTTGGCTAATTTGGGGATGGTTAGATCGGAAATTTGTTATTCCTGCAAAAGTTATCGGTTCCTTACTGTCAGCTGACAACCATGAGATCATTTGAAAAGGAATGAAACGTTGTTTGTCACCGGATGTACTAAACAACGTGAGGTCTCGCGAAGTCCCTTGACCTACTTACGGGCCTATACCTTGACGTGTAATGGAGGAACGTGTGCACACAAACAACTTAACTAATGACGCAGCTTTATTACAGCTTCAAGTTTGTCTGAAGTGTATTGACCGTTTGTCCAGTGACAATACAAATTAAAAACCCTTTAAAGTTGGACTTTTATTTTAAGTGTTGACAGAGAGTTGTGACAAGTATACTATTTCTTTTCCTATATCCAGTAATTCACCAGCTATTTTTTCACCAGCTCCCTGTCTCCCCGAGGACTTCACCTGCTCCAACAACGTGTGTATATCTCGCCGTCTCCTTGGCAACGGGTTGGACAATTGTGGTGATGGGACCCTTCAGGCCGACGATGAGTCTGAAGCACCTGTGCCCATATGGGTGCTGGCAGTGTTCGTTGTCATGGCGATCTTAACCGTTATTATCGTCATAGTGTGCGTTATTCGTTGGCGGAAGAAAAAGCGGGATGACGTATCAACTGTCCACGTCATTAGTTTTACTAATGAAAACTTCCGTACTTCACAGGCCCTAGCCGACACCTAATCTGTTGTATTCTATATATAAGGGTATATAATTGAAGAACGAGGTAGGAAAAGGACCTTCAAATCCACCCAACATCGTTAAATGGCAAATTTTAATGTAGTGTTAAACGTTGAAACATCGTATTGGGATGAATATTATTAAAATTTTATATCTAGCTGTTTTCGTTTTATTCATTCGATTTGAACTCTTGGCATGATTTTGACTACATTTAGGAAATACCACCAAATTTAGTGAATTTAGGAAATTATTTGCTTACTAAGTTATATGCTCTTATTGGTTAGTTTATCCTCTTATAAAAATAGACCAAACACTTGTTCGTATTTAGTTATCAGCAAATGTGTCCCTCCAAACTTTTAACCTAAGTTTTTGAACTCACTAGCTGTCAACATGAATTTATCGCTTTCACAGGACAAAATTAACAAGATTTCCTACTTTCCAAATTATGCATAGCACATAGGCCAAACAAAGTCCTTATATCCACTTCATCTTTTCTTAATCTTTGGATATTATTTGACCATTCATGTATTTTTTAGCCAAGCCGCTTTCCTTTATATATAGTTTGGTTGTTTTTCCTACTGTCAAGGCCTCAAATTACATAGAAATCGGTAAGCATCTCTATATTAACCGTTTGATCAAAGAACTTGATATAAGTGACATATTAAATTGTGCCACATACGAAGCCAGTATGTTACCTGAGGAAGTAGTTTATCAAGATCAAGGACCAGAACTATTAATTTGGGCTTTATTCTAAAACCTGGAGACCTTTTCCAACTTTTCCCACCCACATACTAACTTACGGAAAAGCTTGTTTCCTTGATCCATACAGGACTCGCCGGTATTTTCTCATTCTGAACGTGGATATAGTTACAACCATGTGTTCAAAGGTTCAGGAGGTCTATATAATATAATATAATATAATATAATATAATATAATATAATATAATATAATATAATATAATATAATATAATATAATATAATATAATATAATATAATATAATATAATATAATATAATATAATATAATATAATATAAAGGTGTATAATGAAATAAGTTGTTAGGTGAAGGTTACTGAGAAAACAATTTATGAACTTCGGAACTTACAGACAACATATCACATGTGAAACTAGGGGATACGACATTTAAGCAAGAATATGCATCTCCATTGGTCCTAACTGCTGGGGACACCAGAAATGGGCTTCACACGTTGTACCCATGTGGGGAATTGAACCGGGGTCTTCGGCGTGACGAGCGGACGCTATAACCACTAGGCTACCCCACCGCCCCGAGAAAATTGTAAGTTGGACGCATCGGCGTTTCTACGGACAGTGATTCATAAAGATATGCTCCCGATGTGGTGTTAATCGTGTAATACACTCTGCTTCTAGCAGATATTTCTTATTATGGAAAGGAGTTGTCTCTTTTTCATCATTTTGGTAAAATAATTACCTTTGGACATTTGGATTGTGCCTCACACCATATCAGAAATATACATTTATTTACTTCAGGGTGTGTACAGAACGCGTCATATTATATGTAATTAATTTTTACCTTAATAAATATATTTTTGTGGGGAAAAAAGTGTGTTGCATATAATTTGAAGGTGATAGGTGTCTCAGCTGTACGCATGCTCACTGAGGTCACTGTTTTCGCATCGTGATTTTCTGGAATTTGCTGTTAGTTATTGATTAAATAAGTATTCTGTGAAGGGTTAATGGCAAACTACGATTTTAACGAACTGAAATTAGACCTCCCGTTGAGTTCGTTTTAACCGTAGTTCACTGTATCTAGCCTTCCAGTATATCATGCAGTTCTCCACAATATCAATACCATTGTTTAAGGAGGACGGACTGTTTGTCTTGTCTGAAGTCAGAACATCCTGCTTCTAGTATTGTTGTAAACATCCTCGACACACGCGTTTGCAAAACAACGGAAAGCTGTCATAAGGCTAATAATTTCCGCCCTCCACAACGACGTGCCGCGTCCCAGTCCAACACCACCGTGGTTGTCGTATACTCGTCGTCGTGGTATACGGTAAGTGAGTGAGTGAGTGAGTGAGTGAGTTTAATTTTACGCCACATTCAGCAATATTCCAGCTATATGGCGGCGGTCTGTAAATAATCGAGTTTGGACGAGATAATCCAGTTATCAACAGCATGAGCATCGATCTACGCAATTGGGAAAAGAACACAGATGTGTCAACCAGGTCAGCGAGCCTGACCACCCGATCCCCTTTAGTCGTCTCTAGCTCTGTCAGAATACTCGGGGTCAATCAATAGAATACTATTACATGTATGCCATTGAGATACAATGTCCGCCGTGATGTTACGATGACATCACATGTGTCATCTAAGTTAGCGAGTCTGAACACCCGACCCCGTGGTATACGGCCTATGTAAGGTAAGGACGGGTCTGAAGCTACCCGCTTGATTTGTATCATTGCTATTGATTTGTCAACGGGTGTGAGTTCGAGACTGCAGACATGTAAGAAGCTTAGTCAAGTGGTAAGACGCTTGCTTGTCTCGCTGAAAGTTCGGGTGTGATTGGAAATATCGATCGTATGTGTGGAGCCAGTTTTTGTCTTTTAGCCACGATATGGCTTAAATATTATTAAAATAGCCCTGAAACGTTTCACACTTGTTGAGATCAGTCTGGTCAAATTTTATTTGGAACATCAGACGAAAACAACGGGACGTGATAACAACCCAATGAGCTCGTTAATCAAGAAGTGTGCTTATAGAAACGATCTTTCTGGAAATACTCGCCGGGTAAATAACGTTACCATTTATCAAGGAGACGTGATATACCCAAAATGGGATTCAAGATTCGAACCTTGGGCGCGGTCCACAAACGATCGTAACGCAGAGATAGTCGTTAATCTATGTTGAAGCATGGGAGTTTGATCACCTTAGCGCACCGCTTGCTTTGTGGAACAGACCTTCATCAGTCTGGGAGCAAGTACACCATTTCACAAATCACGTCTATCTGCCACATACAAAATACGTTTGAGTGAGATCCCTGTCCCAGTTTACAGGAAGGGCACAAAGCACAACGTCATCTGAAGCGCCGGATTAGTTCCTCAGAGTTACGCGCCTTGGGTGAGGCTGATAACCACGATTACATAAGCACAGCCAAATATTTTTCCATTGACTTCAACAGTAGCGTCATATTTAAAAAAATAACTAAGATATCAACAGATATATCATGTACATATGTGCATTACCTTGCCTTAAAGAAGCAATAAAAAGATAAAATATGGCCACCGTAAAGAGGCAATAAAAAACATAAAATATGACCACCTCAGGCACCTCCTTTTCCCAGTAGAGGACTGACTGACTGACTGAGTTTGGTTTTACGCCGCTTTTAGCAATATTCCAGCAACATCACGGCGGGAGACACCAGAAATGGGCTTCACATATTGTACCCATGTGGGGATTCGAACCTGGGTCTTCGGCGTGACGCGTTTACGCATTAACCACTACGCTAACCAACCAACAAAACAAAAAAAAACGCCCCACCCCCACCCCCAAGTAGAGGATGGCCCCCATATAAATCATTATGTAAAAGAAAACAGCACTAAAAGTTATGGTCAGGTTTAATTACTGGATGGATGTACATTTTAAAAACACAAAAATCTTACACAAAATCACCCAATCACAGCTGTCAAATGATTCCTTCAAAAACTGCTCGTTAAAATACGGATTCTGATTTAGTGTGGTGTAACCTGTATGGGAACCGCCTCGCATCACATCTCCGGTTTCCCCCAACATCAGCAATAATAATAACCTTGATGATACAGCTCAACCACATAACCTTTACGAGAGGCATTTAGAAGCTGGCTTACTAAAGAAGGATAATAACATATGGATGAACAGCATCTTAAGTGACATTTTTGTGTGGGTTTTCAAACACATTATCAGTGAAACGTCGCTCCTATTGTAAGAAATTAATAACGTTGTCCGTATATTCTTATCCTTCCAAAAGTGCAACATGCTTTTTCCAGCTGCTCTGGTCAGGAGAAAAATATAATTTGTGAGTGAGTACGATGATATAAATTTAACAACTGTATTGCGACGAAGGCCAACACAGATACTCTTGCATTGTTGCCATTGGGTTTGAATTGGTTGGAAGGAATCAAACCCGTTATTCAGAATGAGAGGCGAACGCCTCAGCCACTTAGCTACATCGACGCCCCATGATCGTATGCAAAAGCAATTACAGTCCGTTTGGATCAAAATCGGACCGATGAATTGCAATTTAACTCGAAAACAACTAAACATGGAATACTCAGTGAAACACTGATCATAATCATAACATCAGACCAGCTCTGTGATTTTTTGCAGAATTTATGACCTAAAGATACAAAAGTTGTATTAATTTTGATACAGTTCACTATTTGTTACGAGGGAGGACTGCAGAGGGAGGAACAGCGAGGTGTACGTGAAGCACGTGCACAAATGCCGAGAAAGTCATTGATTCATTAACCTGTGCTGTGGTGTCTCCATCCTTTCTTGCATACCTGGCTGTTCCTCTCTTTGCAACCCTCCCTCGTAACAAATAGTGAACTATCGCTAAGAGAGTCCCACGGACTATAGACGAAATAGCAGTCCGCAGTCCGTTTTTTTTAAGGTTAAACTACCGTTATAACGAACCCAAGGGGAACACTAAAAATACTAGTTCGTTATAACAGTAGTTCGTTATGTGCATTTCTACTAAAATATACGGAAAACATCCCAGTTCGTTATACATAGTTACCAATTCGTTACAAGCATGTTCGTCATACACGAACTGTAATTATAACACTGCACCAATGACTTGTTGTGCCGTCAGATATAAAACGTCTCAGCTTTACATAAAAAAGACTGCCCAATTTCTAGAATTGATCAGGTGTTACTTGTCTAAGTTAAAAAGCGAAGTGTGCCTTTACTTTAATCTACTTAATGATAATAAGGCATGCTGTTCTAAGGGATGTTATTGCAGATGGCCATTGCTCAAAGAAGCTCTCGTTTGGGATGCTATAATACGTTCAGTTAGTTGTATGGTATAAATAGAGGAAATATACAACAACTTAGCACTCAAAGAACATTTCTATATGATTCCTTTTATAGAAAATATTAATAAATTGCATGATACTGCAATAATTAAATAATAACTGT